ACAATATATTAGCATACAAAGAAATTGCGACCCAAACTTCGCGACTATAATGTACGCTCTCAATGTCTAAACAAAACACATTCCTTTGATCTCATGTTCGTACGCTGTTCCTCCCTAGTCAACCTCGTTCCCACCAGTCCCTCTCGCTAATAACAGCGATGATGATGGTAATGATAATAATAATAATAATAATAATAATAATAATGATAATAATAATAATGATAATAATAAAAACGATTCTCTTGTTCGTTGAATCCATGCATACTGTACACCTAGAAGACATCAAGTGAAGGTCAAGTGCAGACTTTATTGATTTTATATTCACAGCAAACAGAAACCAGCTCACATATAACACCGCTGTCCGTATATAACCCTTGGTTACATAGTTCCATCTTTATAACGGCTATAAACCAAAATCCTTTAATCCTGTGAAAAAGCCTTCCCTGGTAACCATGATTGTGGCAGACAGGAAGCTTTTATGTTGGTACTCCTGTGGCAAGGGAACATAAAGCACCTTTGCGATTTCTTGTTGTGGATGGACCAAATAACGGAAAAGATGTTTATTAATCGATTTCTTTCACCTTTTCTAGCCCAGTTTCACCCAATACCAAAACAAATACTTGTGATAAATCATGTGCAGGTGGCTGTCCTTTTGATCACCCGGAATGGGCCTCTGCAAGTCTTACGACGCTGCTTGCTTTTTAAAAGAGACTAACCGAAATCTTTTGGTCTGGGCTTGATGTAGTCAAGGCAAACGAAAGTACTTGTTTAAACCCAAATGATAAACCTGTAAGCATTTTTTTTAAAATCAGAACTGAGCTTCCTTGTCAAACATGATTGCCTGAGATTTGAACGTCATTTAAACTACAATGAAATTAAATTGTTTGTCTCAAAGGTACAACTCTACAAAATAATTATGTAATCAATATTGTTCTAATGTAAATGACGTTTCTTGACCAAAGCATTTTATATATTTTTAAAACTTTTTTGTTTGTTTTTTTTTTTCCAGTCCAAAACTGAAAATATGCAAAGATAAAATATAAGAACAAAATGGCTCAGGTCAAACCGACTTTACTGTGACACCACTCAGGCCCTGTGTTATTCACTAGTGTGAATCAGGTTTGAATTATTTTTCCATGAACCTAAAGGCCATGTTTTCTTCTGAGGCCTGAAGATCCCAACAGGCAGCAATATTTTGTTTAACAAGAACTGCTGGCAGTAAAATGCCTCGAAACAGTACCACAGTATTTTCAGTTTTTTCCCAGACCCATGCAAAGCCAGTTAAATGTTTCTATAAATCATATACCGTATCCTAATCCAACTAAGCACTTGAATTAATGATGCAATGAAATGTATAATATTGCAGATCAAGTAATTATTAAATCCGTCCTGGCGTGAAAAAGAATAAGTAACATTTGGTTTACCCGTTTTTTTGAACTTAACTGCGTTTCCTTTGCAAACTCGATTATTTGGGGGTCCTTCGTCATTAAAAAACTTCGAGAACCATAAACTTAATTACAGCACTCAAGGCTACAACGCTACTACGGGTGTTTGGGATTAATATGTATACACAACTGATAGTTTTAGGTCATAAATACGTCTTTTAACGTACATCATTAGTTCAGTCTTATAACCTTTCTCCTCCTCCGAGAGGGTTTTCTATTCTCTTTCCTTTTTGTCCGAAATGTTCCCAAGACTTTTGTAACAAAAAAAAAGTGAAAAAAAAGTGAAAAAAAAAAAGTGTGATACGTACTCTATCACATTTTCCCTAGTCCCAATCACGTTCCAGTCGGATACGTCCGAAAAGCTTCCGCGTTTTCCTCCGAGATCAGAAAAATTCTTTGAACTAAATAACCAGTTTAAATGATGTCAGTCCTTACTAGTGAAAAGAAAACTGGCTAATGGACGGAAGTCATCAGGAGTAGGTTGATGTTCCAAAGAACGTTGGATACAGTAATTATATTTGGTTTGAGAACTCCTAAATGAAAGGCCCCGATTAAATATCTTTCAGCAAGAGATATAATTGAATTAACTTATGCATTTGAGACCGCTGACTCTGTTGTAAAAACGTTAATTATTGCAAATAATGTAATACATCCCTGTTATATCCAGTGGTATGTGCTACAGGACTCACATTAGATTTAATTAGTAGTATTAAGTTGTAATGCGCGTATTTAATTAATTGAAATATTGTAAATAAGTCCGATGAGTTAGTTATTATAAAAACAAATTGGGCTCAATATTTACTTTTCCAAAACTAACTCTAACATTCTTGCTAAGCCTTTCCCGAGGTCAAACAGGAGAAGTACTTCAAAGGTATAAGGTTGTCGTTTTCTCTTCTGTTCGCTGTTAATCTTCTAACTATTTGAAAGGGTCTCTTTCAGAGAAAACTCGACTGTAGAATGTCACTACGCAACATGACTTTGTGCAAATGTAAAACATTTTGATCAAAAGAAAAATCATGATCTCGACAAAAAATGGTTGTATTGACTACATATTTTTTTATCTATGGATCTTTGCCCATGTTTTCACAAAAAAGACGAGAAACGCTTCTGATATTTCACCTTGGTGAGGTTAAGTTAAGAGAGAATTAACAGAAACTAACTTTTACTTGACCTTTAAATTCAGCTGCATGATGATAAAATGCTACAAACTGGTGTGATGCGGACATACATTGTCACTGCGGCACTGTGCAAGCCTAAGAAGTAATTAAAAATTTCAAACATATGAAATTAGTAAGTCTTTCAGGTGTTTAGAATGCTTTCCTGTGGATGATGACCACTTGATTCCCTAAGCATGACGCCAAAGCTGAGCTAATATGAGCAATTACCAATACCTATTTAATTTAACATAGATGCATAATCACTGCACCCTACTTTACTCAACATAATGTCAGTTAATTTCTTATCATCCTTAACCGGAGCAAAAAAAAAAAAGATACATGAAGTGAAAATTAAAAACTGTCATTTTTCATTTTAACGAACTCGCTAGTAGTAGTACACCCCACATCGCCTAAACGGTTCTTAAACTTAAACTAAAAACCATTTATTTACCTAGAGTTTAGTGTCTTGTATCCCACTTGGTGGGGGATGGATAATGACTTCTACCACTGTAACAACACCTTGTTCAACTGTTATCTGGTTTGCAGTGTCCTCGTCTTCGTCTTCGTCTTCTTCTTCTTTTTCCTCTCTTTCTTCTTCTTCTTCTTCTTCTTCTTCTTCTTCTTCTTCTTCCTTGCGTTCCGCATCGTAATAATCTTGAAGCATAATAATAACTGCCGCATTGTCCCTTTCCGTATAAGCAGTCGGTGGGATGTCGATTCGGTCAGTTTGCAGTTGCTGCCTCGGTATGTCCCTCCCAGCTAGTCCACCTATCTCTCCTTGTAAATTTCGAAGTGGCAGTAGCAAGGCCAGGCAGCAGGATAATGACCATTCTGGATTCTTTCGCCATTCTTTTACGTAGTGGTAGATATACGACACATATTGCACTGAAACAGGTAACAAACTCATTCAAATTAAAACTTCTTGACCTTCATAGATTCAAATTTACATCTATAGTAATCTTTGCGCCTTATATACGTCGAGGTGGTTACTGCTGTACGTAGTAAGGGACAGGCCAAAGGAGCGTAAACTATGGATTGCAGTATTTTTACCTTATTACCTTTTCAGATTCGAATGATTTGTCCCGAAAACAAGCGGTCAGTCTTGTACCCATTCGCGATATTTTTCATTGGGCATTTTAACACATGTACATGTATAAGAGGAGTGCAAGAATAGATCACTAAACTACTTGTAAATCAATAATTGTTCTAAAAAGAGGCTGTTTATTTCGTTTTCTACTTATTATACCACAGGGAGGGGGACAAGATTTTTTTGGGAGGTTGAAGTTTTTGAAGGGAAAAAGGGGGGATGGTGGAAATTTCAGAAGACAGGAAGAGGCCACATGCCAATTTTTTAGATGCCATTGAAAGATTAAGTATTTGTAACATTATTGATAAACCACTACTAGTTCAATGAAGGATATTTTTTGTCCTTAACTTTGTCCAACTCTATCTACATTATCATATTACCAATTTTATTTCATCCTGTTATTGTTGATAACGTCACTGATTGTTTCCATTCTTAATATCATCGTCATCATGATCATTTTCATCATTTTCATCTCCATCACAATTATTGTCATAAAAATTGAACCACTTTCCTTACTTTCAAAGCTTTTAAAGTTGTTATTAAGTCCTCAGCATCTATGTTCGCAAGATTTAAATCAACTTTCGCAGCTTAAAACGAGTGAAAATGATCAGTAATATTAATTTTGGTTTGTTGAATCCGCAGTTACGCTGCAATCAGAAAGGATAAACTTGACTACTGGTCTAAAGCGTCTCTATAATAAAAACTTATCATATGGTTGGCGGAAGATCCTTAGAGAGCTTCTTTGATTTACATTAAAGGTGGCATTTCTTAGAATAGAAACTTGAATTCTTACGATTGGTGAAGTCATTAAATCAAACGAATGGCATCGTCTGTAGAAAGCTTTCCCTCTATTAAGGCACAATCGGTAGCTGGTCGAATATATGCTTGTTTGAGTGAAAAGACCACATAGTTTTCATTACGGAACCTGAGCTACTGTTACGTGCGGCAATTAGTTTCAAATTTACTTTCAATTTTCCCAGGCCCATAAGAAGCTTCGAGGCATCCTGAGGTTTAAAGATTGCGTACATTTGTAACCAGGATGGCCGCCCGTAAATTCTTGTAATTTAACGGATTGTCCGTAATGATAAACTGATTCATCACAAAAAACAAGAAACAGAGATAGCGGGAGAGTAGGATGAGTATGGGGTTAAATCACAATACAGTTGACTCCCGATAACTCAAACCTCGCGCTGACTCGAACCAAAATCGATTTCCCCTTGATTTCCGTCATACATTTACTGTAATTTTACCCTCGGTCACTCGAACCTCCCACTAACCCGAAGTAGTTTTGTTTCCCCTCAGATCATTTCTATATAATTTTACCCTCAATAACTCGAACCATGTTTTGAGCCCTTATAAGTCGGGAAAAACAGTCTACTGGCGTCCCAAACAATGAATTTTGAATTTCTCATTGACGTGTTGTAGGCATATAATTTACTATTGGAGGCAGATGTTGTTCGTCACAAATCTAACGTGAAACAGCTTTACTTCTCAAAACAGTAAAATGCATGCTCTATTTAAGTAAGGTTTTGTCATGATACGTTGTGATTTATAATCTAGAGGTATCTTTTAATTTTCACTTGACATTTCTACGATTAATTGCAATTAAAATGTTCACTATACAGTAAAAACTGTTTTTTCCTTACTCCTGGCTATTTTTTTCGACCTCACGATAACTCGAACCTTTTTCGATTTCCCTTGAAGGTTCAAGGTATCGGGAGTCAACTGTAGATGCTAATAGTCCATCAGCTAGGGAGGTTGTATGGCTCACTTAAGGGGAACAAACAAAACTTGTATAATCTAAATCTTTGAGTAAAAAGCATCACAAAAATGCATGATAGCAAGGATTGAACGGTAGCTTTCACTTTGTAAATCGAATTTTGAATTTGCCACTTAAACTTTTATTTTGGTAGCCACGTTGGATTTATAAACAAACCTTTGATTCCCTCTTAATTTAAACACACGATTTTTTAAAAGAAGATTTGAACTACTAGGTATCTGAGATATTATTTTAGCATTGTTAAGTTAAGGTTAAGGTTAGTCAAGATATGTATGACGTCACAGTGACCGCCATTTTGCTTTTGAAATTAGCCTATTCAACTACCGTAGAGTTCCGATAGTAGCGACCCTCGTTACTTTCGGAATTATAAGCCTTTGGGGGTCGCTTTTTTCGGGGGATCGTTACTTTCGGGAGGTCGTTACTATCGGAACTTTACGGTAATATCTCAATCATCTAAATAAGAAAATTGCTACTAACATTAATTAAACGTTGGAAGTTCTTCTTTTGCACGTTACAAACCTGTTTTGTGCTGAAATGGGCAAATTTTTATGAGGAAAAAGGCCAATTTGAAACAAATTGGTAACTTTCTTTAACCCTTTGGTGACGGCCGGCGAGTAGAGAAATAACCGCATTTTTCACCAATTCCTCTTCTTGGACTGGTTTTCGACTAATTAGCATGGCTAAAAGAATGGCTAAAAATGAATTTTTCATCAAACAAAGGCATATTTTCCGACTAATGGCGTAATTAAACAGCTTTTTTGTTTTTCACGCATGCGCACAAGCCAAAATTTTGACTTAATTTGCGAATCTATTTTGATCTTTCTCTATTGCTCTCTTTTTTTCTCTGCCTTTCTTCTATATTAGCAGTTTTTTGCCCACTTTATAGTTTTTTTGTATAGAATTGTGGCTAGCCAACGAATATTCTATTTCATCAGTAATTTTCTTCTCTACGCACCAATTCTTCCAAACAGAGAGCCAAAAACCTGTGCTTTTCGCAATGTTTTCATTTTAGAGCAGTTTTTCAGCTACTCTATGGTTGTTTCGGTTGCAAAAGCAAATGTGCTACAAACGCAAACCATTTCGGTTTTTGCTCGAAACTGGTCCAGAGCGGATCCAAATATTGCGCCATTTAAATGGCGCATTTGATTGGCTCTCAGCGGGTTCTTTTGTTTATTAACCAATCAGAATGTCACGTTTGTTACCCTTTTCTTGCACTAAATTACTTTTTTTCTGCACCGTGTTACCTAAAAACTGCATTTCTCTTAGCCAATCACAATGGAATGTATATTTTTAAATAAAAAATAAACATAATAAATTCTTGTTATGTTGGAGCGTAACTCTATTAATGTTCATTCAAACACTCGACCACATCTCGCACTGCAAAAGTGATAACCGGCTGGCCGTATAGGTGATTTTGGAAACTTTTTGAACGGTTTAGCTAACAGCCCACGCATGCGTCCATCGTCCTGAATATTGAATGAGTGCAATTTGTATTGCAAAATTGTGAAATAGTTCATTCTTTCCGAGGTCTGTATGATAAAAACAATGCCTCGTAGTACTGATTCACCTCAGATGTGATGTATAAATGCACGCACCTAGATTTGTTAGCAAGATTTTGTAAGGTAAACCTGTAGAATACAAAAAATTCGGCCTGCTTTTTTTCCAGACCTAGTTAATCAGTGGTGATCAAGAGCCATTATGGCTTTTAAATGTGATCGAACATGATTGCCAGTTTTTAGGTGTACATATGAGGCTATCAACTCGATGTTAGATTTGGTTCACTCTCGGGCTGTTTGCAAATAATTTTCTCTAAAATCACTTAGCCTTTCCTTCAAAAGTCACATGAATGTGCTCTAAAGCCCCGTGCAAACGGACGCAACATCGTTGGCCAACAACTCCCAACTTTGCTGGATGTTACATGTTGCGTCTGTTTGTACACCCTGTTGCATGTTGTTGGATGTTGTTGCGCAACGTTTGAAACCGGTCAAACTTTTAGCTACGCACAAACGGACGCAGCAACTCCCAACAATGTTGGAGTTGTTGACCAACAGTGTTGCATCCGTTTGCACACGGCTTAAAGTAAACTTAATTGTGGAATACAAGTTTATTGTTTGATTTAAATTATAAATTTATTAATGGGAGCCTCGCTTTTAGCCATGGCTAAATCTATATATTATTCCTCGCTGTAAGTGTCCTCGTACTCAACTTTTAGTGTATCAGTATCTTCACATGCATTTTCTCGGGGATCATCACTGTCACAGCAAGAACAGAGTTAAGTGCAGGTTCAGCCCTGATTTCAGGCAGGCATCGTTTGTTTGAGCATCTGTTCTTATGACAGCCGCACTTGACCAATTGAACGATTGCTTTAGGAGTAGGTGCTTCTTTAGTCGTAAAGGGGATCCATTTTTCTTCCCGGATTCTCCCACCCGAATCCATATGGCTGTGGCCAGCTAGGACAGCACACTTTATCATTGTTCCAGACCCTCATTTGATAAGGGGCTAAGAGAATTGTCTCTTGTATTGGTGAAAGCCTATCCGATTTCCACTGATTTTCTCCGAACATATACCATCTTAGTTCCTTGACATGTGAGTGACCGCCGGTTCCAGGCTGATAATGCTCGCATATAAACTTCTCCACAAAAGCCAATACGTTGTCTGGGGGATGCACTGTGGTTTCAAGGTTTCCTAAAGCGTCCACATGAACGTTTTCCAGCATGGAAGTTCGTTTCCCTTTACCAGGAAAACACCCGGTGACGTCCAGCCCGTCTGAATGCGTGGAACTCTGGTAATCGTCAACAGAGGAAAGTTATATTACATTGCTTGCCCGTTCCAGCTCGCCCGATCTGTCTGGCAAAAACATGGCGAGATCTGTTTATTTCTTTCGTTCTCCCACCAAGACATCGCAATCGCCATGGATATTCAGATTCAACCTGTTCCATGCAGTCAGATTCCTAAATGTACTGGATTAAGTCAAAGTCTACAGCAAAAGTCAACCGATACAGGCAACCATAAGATCGATTGCGAATTTAAATTCCCCCGCCAAGCACACTGATTATAAATTCTCAAGATAACAACTATTGGAACTTCGTGCACGGACTCCTGTTTTAAGAAATTTTTTTCTGTCCTTGAAGGACCTTTACATTCTTAGGACTCGACCTGTGCGCGCTGAGGTAACAACAAAACAACGACTGCGTCGTATACCAGTTGTATTTGGCAGAGAAAGAGAGAGAACGACCCAATTTTATTATTCTGATCAGAAATTACCATATTATCACAGTGTAAACAAACGCTGCAATCGTGGGTCAAATGCTAAGAATCTCATCGCTGTTCATCGGACGAGTTTAAAATCACTTGAAATCTGTCGCACCCATGAAGTACCTTATCCGCCATTTAAAGACAAGCTAACATTTGCAGATGAGATGGGTAGCTACGTTAAAGAGAAGACCGTCAACATTCAAGCTAAACTTGACAACATGGCTTCTGGATTGTCTTCTCTTCCACCATCCAACAACAGCTGCTTACGCCCATGCAGCATAATGGACAGTTTTCACAGCCGTCTGAAAATGATGTGCGCAATTTGATCGAAAGCTCCTCGAAAAAGCCCTGCAAACTTGATCCGATGCCAACACCGTTAGTTGTCAACTGCATTGACTTACTTCTGCCTATTATCACCAAGACCATCAATTTATCGTCGTCTATTGGCTATTTTCAGTCTGCGTACAGAAAACAGCACAACACAGAAACTGCCCTTTTTAAAAGTAATGAATTATATACTGCAGAAAATGAACTCACAGCATGTTGCTCTAATAGTTATACTGTGAAAGGTTTTAACCCAGGATTCATTTTAAAAGTATGCCTAGGCTGATTTTGGTCGTCCGGGAGAACGTAATCCTGAATAGGACTGTTGTTGTTGACAGTGACTGGCGTTTCGACAACCTGTACGGTAGTCATCTTCAGCGTCAAAGTGAGTTGTATCACGTCAGTTGATGGTATTATACTCTGGTTATTGATCTAATTGGTCAATTACGTCGCGATGTTATTGGTCGCTAGCTTTTGGACCAAGGCCAATCGCACGATGGTTATCCCCCCCAACAGCGACAAACGATATATTCACACACAACTCCAGATAGGGCCTTAGAAGCAGAAGTAAAGTGGCTGTGTCTGGAGAATGGATATAAAGCTACGTTGCACCTTTGGCAGTTGCGTCCAGAGCATGTAGCAACATCTTCGTGTGTGCTTCTTCTTGCTCACTTTGAAGATGGTTCACATTTTGATGTGTTGCACGACACTGGCATCACCAGGCCACAACAGCTCGTAGAATTGTCTCCATAGCATAATCTAGGTAGCTAGATAGCTCGTTCTTGGTCTTACTATGAGAAAGGAGTCTTCTTTCTGGTACCTGGTCGAATTCCTGGTCGATGTGCGTGGCATTACTAATACGTTAATATACGGGATCTTGATCAACCTGCCTGTTTACTCAGGTAGCTGTTTTTAGAGACATCGGCAAGTCATATCTATCGAAAACCAGACGGACCTCATAATTGGACTTGTACTTATATATAGTTGATGCTGACAGTAAAGCGCTCAGCTAATTGCGAACAGTCTTTGATAGTTTCCGGCTTGCCAAGAGATTGACGTTCTTCCAACTTTTGACGTCAACAACAGCAACTCGCAGTTGAGACGGATGAGAGTAGGGCTCCATATTTACTATTTCAATCTCACTAATCTGTGAACGAGTGGTCGTTCTTTACTCTGATTTGCCACGAACAGCTAAACCTTCCAAGAATTTTCATCAAAGCGTTCTTTGCAGAAGAAGCGTTTTACCCTGTTTTGCCATTGGGTGCAAACAACGATCTCGGAACTGACAAAAAACTCGTACTGGCCAATCATTGAAAACACTCATTTCGTGCAGCTATTGATTGCCTTCCGTAACAAGTCGAGTGCAGCTTCAAACAGTACTTTTATTTGTTTTGGATCGTCAGTACTTTTCTTTTCTAATAACTGACTGGCGGCATCCCCTGTCTTCTTAATGGTTAATCGGTCTGATTCGTTAGCATTTGTTGTTCGGTGAACTTCCACTTCAGGTATCATAATTTGAATTACCTGTTGAAGTGTTTTTCATTTGCATACGGTTTCATGGACATTTTTTGCTTCAATAATACTCGCATGAATATGCTGCTGGTAAATCGGACATAGTCTATATCTTGCCTTCTCTTAAGGTGATTCCCTAGTTTTGCACTGCGCATCTCTTACTGCGCATAACAAGATGGCCACCGTAAAAAAGAGCATGTGATGTAATATTATTAAAATGAAGTTGACTGAAGAGAAACGCTATTGGAATTTTTGCTTGCTGTTGTTTCTTGCCGAGGTGAGACTCAATGTGTTGGGAATGTGCATAACGTAAGCAGTACGCGTGTTGCTGAGTTCGACCTCCCCTCGGAGAACCTCGATAGTGGATGTTTAACTTGTGCTTACTCACTTTGATTTTCATTTAAACACTTTCTTTATCAGATTGTGTCCTAAATGTGATATCTCGATGTAAATTCTGTAAAAACGGATTTCTTAATACTTTCTTTCCCCTTTCACATACATTCTATTTTGAAACTCGCCCCAGTCCTCTCTCAAAAATCGGAGAAAATGCGTTTGGTGCCCACTTTCTGCAGCTCTACCGCAAAAACGAGTACAGTGACCCCCATTTTTTATTTCATGATTTTAACAAGGACAGTGCTTCCTTTCGATGAGAAAAAAATTGGCACAAATCTATGTTCAGTTTTTTGGCAATTTTACTAAATTGTACGGATTGAGCCATCACGGGTCGAAAAGCGGGCGTCCAATTTAATTCTGCTTTGGAACGTAAAGTAAAAACAAGGGCATTAAAAGGCATTTTTTTAGTAAGTAAGTGGATAAACAATACATTAAAGTCAAATTCTGTGTGATGCCACATGCATCATCGAAAAAATCTCTCCTTTTTGTCTAGTTTTGGGCTGCCCGCGGTTTTTGTAAAAGGGTCCTAAATAGCCGTATTTGTCAGCATTGTGACGTCAAAACGAGCACAGTGACCCCCACTTTTTATTACTTTTTTATCATCTTCTTGACTTGTTACATCAGTGTACCAAGTTTTAGCTACAATCTATGTTGGGTTCTTTTACTATGGAATCACCTTAAGTTAATCTCTGTCATTGCTAAAATCTCTGTTGGAGCGTCGTTGCATAATTGTTCGGAGTAGTAAATTTGTGACGTTATTCACCCAACAGACGTTATGATACCTAATTCAAGAAATCTTGTTCATCACTGATGTCTAATTAATATTAGTAAAATCCAACTAGTGATCTATTATCAATGCTGCCTTCTGATTGGTTGAGCTACTACTAGGATATATATGTTATAGCCCACTAGTAGCGAAAAGCGCCGGCTTTTCGGCGGCAAAAAAGGATTAAAGTCCAGCTTTAACTAGTTAAAGTTGTTTTGTCTCGATATTTTTGACCAGCTATTTGGATTTTAATAAAACAATTATTCCTCGGGCCCGAATGGGCTCTGAGTCAATATCCCATTCGGCATTCAGCCTCATGGGCTATTGACTCAGAGCCCATTCGGGCTGAAGGAATAATTGTTAAATGTACCCAGTTTTGGTCGGAGACGGTCGTTTCCAGAATTTTCCTTTGCCGTTACGTAAGGACTGGGTGATGGACTGAAAACAGTAAAAGGACTTTCCTGCGAGACTTACTGACATCACAAAAGAAACACTTATCTCTGCTAATTAAAAGTTAATGTATTAGACCTTGTTAGCCGCAGTAGCATCTCCTCTGGTGCCACTTTTGAAATATTTCGTCTTGTTTCACTACAGGTCCAACCCACTCTTTCTCGTACCGTTCTCTTGCTTGCGTGAACATTCCCGTATAGACTGCGAACAGTCTCCCTAGCTTTTCTTGCTCGACAATGTGTGAGCGATTGCGAGATATGTTTGTATGGATGGCGTCCTTATACCACTTGAGGACCGTCTGTGCTACGATACCTCTTTATCCCTAAGCTTTTGAGCTGTAAACGTTTATATTTTTCACCAACTTTAGAAATATTCTAAATGGCCGTAAGACGCCCATTCTTGTATGCATGTCAAAACTCTCATATGAGAAGCTGGGTTCCCCACAAGTCGTTCATTTGGCCACAAACAATGCAAAAACTTAAATTGAGGTCTTTGGTCTCTCCAGTCTCTATTAGACTCGACATTTATACTGGATAAGTGACGTAAAACGGCAATATGTATCCCAGATGTTCTTGCGTCAACACACAACTCGAAACCAGAAAACTGGAATATGTATTAGCGCGTGCAAGAAAAAATAGCCTATATAACTATAATAGTTTAAAATAGAATTTCTTATTTTATTATAAAGGAAATCTAGCTTAATTATACTTCACTTTTTAAGTGCTGGGAAAAAAAGAGTAAATATGTACATTTGTTGCAGGACAAATTAGTTGTTTTCTCCCATTGATATCAAGGAATAATTCTTTCACCTGAAGCAACTGGCTTCTTTTGAAATAAAAATGTGGATTTTGACTTTTGATTTTCAGCAATGTTGAGGTAATATAACATTCCTACATATCTTATGAAATATTACTTTTAGGACATTTACAGAAAAGAGCGTGATTGAACATGCAGCAGTGGTTTAAGCATTTCTATACCTTAACCTCGTTTTCATGTAAATCTCAATAGGCAATTTTTCAGTGCCCCTTAAAACATCCTGCACTAATTACAGAAGTGCCGACAACATTCAACATGTTCCTTAGGTCCCCCTCAACACTTTTACGCTGGTCGCTTGAAATCATCACAAAAATCCCTCTGAAATTTTTTCAGTGACATATGCTCCCGGAATAAAGCGTTCATCTTTTAAAAGTGTGCTGAATCTTCGTAAAGCGTACAAATTTAAGAGTTTGCTGGAGGTCTACTATCGATCTGTGTTTAATGAACCTTCCAAAGCGTTCATCTTTCAAAAGTTTGCTGAAAGTTTACACCCTGGGTAAAATTTTACTTTGGATTAAGCCTTCATATTTTTCTTTGGAAAATGCGTGCGACTCCTGGTGCATGCATCAAACCGGGCTCTTTAGCTCGGCGGCCGTTGTGCCACAAAGTAAATGTACTGAGTTATGTAGCTTGGCGGCCGTAGTTCCACAAAGTAAATCTACCAAGTTGTGTAGCTTGGCGGCCGTTGTTCCACAAAGTAAATCTACCGAGATGTGAAGTTCGGGGGCGCCATTTCGTCATGACTTGTGATATTTTCGGCACCGGACAAACGAACATTTTAGCTCTATGTTATTAATTCGGAAAAACGTGACCAGCCCACAGTAGCGCCACTCAAGTCACTGAAATCAATACACTCGAAAAAAATGTGGTCCGACTTGGGTCGATCGTTAAAATCATCACAAGTTAAGAAGACTTGCCAGCTAGTAACGGTTTCATTTCATAGTAAATTTCAGTATTGTCTGCATGTGGGATCCCCAGTAAATAGAATTAATGACTACATCGAAATTTGAATTCCGATGTGAAAGCTTCATTTTGTCAAAAAGTTGATGATCGGATGCTCTTGAAAATAGCAGAGAAAATTATCCAAAGAAATGTTTTTGAACAAAAGAAAAAGAAACCCGGGTTAAGCGCTAATCGGCCTTCGAACAACTGCGCCCTGCAGAACATCTATTGCACCAATAAAACAACACGTTCTTTCTACACGCCCGACGCACTCTGGCCAGTGTCTCCTCAAATTACAACCACTTGAGACGAACCATACGATATGACTATGATCACTAGCCTTCAAAACCTTTTCATAATGATACACAGTTTAAATAGAAGTTTCGCTGTACCCAATCCTTACGTTCAAAATATGCTATAATCCCCGGAGTAGTCAATCGATAAAAATCGCTATCGATTTATCAATCGATAAATCGATAAAGATCGGTAAATCTGATTTGATTGGCATCGATTGTATCGACCAATCGGTAGAAATCGATGACACACTAGTTTCGTTTATCGATTTATCTTGATTTTACCGATCCCACCGATTTTTATTGGAAGATACATCTGTTCTTCTGTTCATCCAAAAATGAAAACTGATTTCATGAAAACAGTGAATTTGTTGACAACTGAGCTGCAATTGAGAGTCGAGGGATCAAACAATTTACTATCACTTTTTTTAAAAAAAAAGTTAAAACAAATATTATTTATTCTTTAAAACCCGCTTTAAATTAAATAAAGTCTTCTTCGGATGACCGATATTGGTCAGGTTTGCTAGGTTGGCCAGGTTTTATATTTTTCCCAGTTTTTCACGATTTAGATCTGCCACCCTTTCAAAAAAGTTCGGCGTGTAGTTACTTCCCGGAGTAGCCAATAGATAAAAATCGAAATCGATAAAGTCGTTAGCGATCAAGTGATTTTTTCGATTGGTAACGGAAAACGGTGAAAAGCTATCCAGAGAAATCTTTTAGTCTGAATTTCGGGCATCCCTTTGACTCTAGAGGATGCCTGAAACTCAGGCTGGGAAATCTTTTATCTAAGGTTGTATTTCTCGTGGTACTTGCCTGCGAGAAATGCGAATGTAATTAAACCGAACCTTTTCTGTTATTATGTACAAAAGGATCACGGTTTTAGAGATAACTGTTTGTCTGTAATAGTTTCCACATTTCTTATTTCCTTTTTGTTGATCAGTTGTTGCTCGTCACGTGTTTTCTCAGCTGTACTATTTAACTTATGCCAAAAAACAACAATGTCGGAGTTACCGTTATAAATCATTAAAATCATGAAAAATCCATAATATCGATTTGACACAGCAATTTGATTTATCGATTTTCACCGATTTTCGTTATCAATCGATAAAAATCACTTGATTGCTATCGATTTTTATCGATACTGATTTTTATGGATTGACTACTCCGGGTATAATCATAGTTATCGCAAAAGCCATTCACCCTTCTCCCTGAACTGTTACCTATGCGCCTAACAAACGTATGCATATCGAACGCACTCTCCTAAGCTCCGATTACTCCTATCGTATATCGATTAAGCCAGGGCTAAAAGCGAAGTAGCCTGCGAACTGCAGGAGTATTTCCGGTCGTCGCTTCTCTCTCCCCGAAAATAGCGTCTGCGATCTCCAGCTGCGAAACGATTTTCGGGACGTCGTTTGTTTTCTTCTGTCCTCAACCAATTAAATTGAGTGATAGAAAGATGCCACTGATTGCACGCGCGAAATCGCGAGGACCGCCAACTGTTGATGTAGCTATGAGAGGGAAAACGCCGAAAAAAGTTTCCTCGGTCAAAGGACATTGTTTTTTTCTTTTTCGCTTAGGTGTAAAATTTCCAGTCTGAAGGAGAAAGTGAAGATCATTAGCGAGAGTGAATTGGAGATTTGTGCGTTAATTTATCGGCCTCAGTTGAAGTCGATTTCAGTGTCCATTTTTCTGTTTACGTCAGTTGCAGTAGCCTTCAAACGGCAGATGTTTCTCCTTGCCCATCGCCTCTGAGGAACGACTCTTACCTCATGCCAAAAGCTGCTTGTTCCAATGGGTTTTTTTCCTCTGACGGGCAGATTATGCTGGAGGGTTCTACGTTTCGACTGAGCAAATGTTATTTTAGCCGCTTGTTTCACACTGAGAGGTCATGATTTTCGGTGGTTTTTGTTTTTGGTCGGGAAGATGATTTGTCCTATGATGCAAGATCATTTTCTGTGACCGCTTTTGAGGGGTAAAGCTCTTTATTGCGGCTGAATAAGGGTTTTAGGTTCTTCAATTTACTCCAAAGTGCCTTCTGGACCTGAATAACTGGGCGATTTTCTTTAGTCCGTGAGTGTGATGTTTTCCGGCAATGTTGAATCACGCTGGGCCCAGCTCGTTTCGTCTTGTTTCAGGATGTTTAATTCTCACGGATAGCGATGAACAGATTTAAATTTAGAAGAATGAATTGCAGCCTAAAATATAGCTTCATCAACTATTTGTACGATTCTCTTGCAGACATTCTTCGCCTTCGTACGTTACCAAGCCAAGATTCTGGTGATCCGTAAACGATAGAATTTTATCCAGCTTTTTATCTTTTTATGTTCGCCGCCGAGCTGATATCACTAAGCGATATCGTGTTGTACTGCAAGCAAAGATAAACGCCTCACTTGAGCTTCCATAAGACTGAATAGCGGAAAAATAACAATTACATGTTATTCTCACATTTATCTATTGAAACAAATCTTGGAACGCGACAGACTATCCATAACCAGTCGGCAATCCGCATCAAGGTTCATAAACATCACTTTTTAATTCGACTACTTGTCGAATTGCTTCTTCTTGGTGCTTGTTTAAGCTTCTCAAACCCGAAAATATCGCATACTTTGGCAAACGCGTCTTCTAGTGAACTCCGACCCTATCTTTTCTCGCGTTTAGCGAGATCCCCACGTAAGCCCCACGCGTGTTAGCTTCACAAATATAAGAGCCGAATGATGATTGGTTAATAAACACTGACTTCATGGAAATCGTGTTGCAGCTCGAGATCGCAGACGTTATTTTTCGGAGGGAGAGAAGCGACGACAGAAAATACGTCTCCAGTTCGCAGGCTAAAAGCAAAGCTCCCTTTAATAACTTGATAATTTAATTCAAACAATAAACTTGTAATCCACAGATCGGTGAACTTTAGATCATATTCATGTGATTTTTAAGGGAAGGCTAAGTGATTTTAGAGAAAAAAGAGTTTGCAAACAGTACAACGAAGGGTTAAACAAATTTTACATCGAGTTAATAGTCTTTACTGAGGTGCACCCAAAAAATAGCAATCATCTTCGTTCACTGTAGAGTAGGCCTAAAAAGCAAATTATTCCTAAACAAAAAAAACTCCGTTGCCCACCTATACACCACCTTGGTATTTTGTAAGGTTAATTGGACAGCCCGAAATAAAATTTTACGCGATAGGGCCGATTATAGGACACCATAGTCCTCGGAGACAGTCAATTTACATGTTGCAGTTTCTAGGTTGCATTTCTTTGTCAAAGGGACACCAAAATAAAAACAAAATCAGGCTGGAATTTTTTGTGTTCGACAAGTTTACTTTACAAAATCTTGCCGACAAATCTGGTGGCGTGTAAACCAGCCTTTTATACTTTTTAGTATATACTAAAACAGTGGATAGCGTTTTTCACGCGCTCTGATTGACTACTCAATCAGTGAATATCCAGTGCTATTCACTGATTCACCTCCAGTTCCTCCGAATATTTCTCGTTCTATAAGCCATCCACAGAAAACAATTTCCCTTTTAAACAAACAAGAAACGCCGGTGCTAATAGTTATAAAAAGAAGATAAAATACGTCAAGCCGGATAAGAAACATCACATGAATAAGGTGTCAGTTCAGGTATGAGCAAGACTGTGACAGACAAACAATTTTTGCTATTGACTTACCAAGAAGGAGTCCAATCACCAAGGAGTTGGCAACATAAATCAAGCCATTGAACAGAAGGGTATCCATGATTGGGTCGACTGATGACGGAAAACTTTCATCTGGGATTGAGCTGACGGCTCCGATTGCAAGGTTTACGAAGGTAACGGCAAGTGAAGACAACATAAGCTTGTTTTCGAATGGATCACTCATTGGATTTTTTAGCCCGAAATACATACTAAACAGTCCAGACGAAACCAAAGCCAATCCAATGTACGCTCTGCTCTCACCACCAAGAAAGATCAATCCAGAGGTCAAAATAACCTTTCGAGCTGTCTCCACCGCTTCCCAATACCAACAACGAGAGTGGTAGTTCTCGTGTAAGAACCGTAATGCCGTTTGCACCGTGCTTTGGTCTTCAAGAACATTTGTGTCGTTTGTTGCTTCCTCCTTAGCTTTCCTTTCTGCTCTTTGCTGTTTCCAAATTGCTATAAAAGCAGCAACGGGCAGAACAATCACATACACAGTGGAACAGTATCCCACGAAGACTAATCGGTTGTATCTCTCCCCTTTACAGTTAATGCTGTAGTCGGCTTTCAAATATTGCTCGCACCCTTCATCTTTCTCCTGGTCAACGCAGATCCTGTGGCAGGCAAGGGGCAAAACTTGGGCTGTTTTTAGGCAAGTGTTCAGGTAGGTCACGTAAAGAAAGAAAAACAGATTTCTCTTTACGACCATTTTAATTTGTTCCTTTTTCCTTATTTTTTCTTCTTCGTTCAAAATATGTCGTGTCGATTTCCAAGTGGCAAAGGCGAAGCTTGCAAGGGCCACAATCACCGCTACAAAATTCAATCCCATAACTGCAAAAAGACTTGCGAATGCGTCAAATTTCAATCCGGGAATGATGCAGTGGACGGGAGCTATCTGAACAATGTCAACCTGAACAATCTCGGAATATCCTCCAATAACTGAGAGACTTTCAGGCCACTTAATGTATGAAAACGCTTCCATGATACCAAAAGTCACTTGATAAAAGCCAATTGTAACTTTAATACTTCCAAGGGCCTTGTCAAGAAAAGATCGTCCAACATCTTTTTTGCTCTTTTTCTTGCTTCTCCACACCACGATAATAACCAGTAACATAACTATTGCCCCCATAATTGCAAACTGTCCGATCATCCGTCCTTTAGTTGGGCACAGTTTGCATTTCTTCAGTTGTTTATAATATCCATCACTGCAAACTGCACATAATGGTCCTTCATAACCAGAATTACATGAAGAATTCAAACCTCCCTTACAAGCTTCTGTCATGGGGCATCTGTACGGATGAGGAATGGTGTACGGGTATACGATACGGGAATCATTCGCGTTGTGTAATTCAGGAGTAAATGAGGAGTCCTTTGCCGTTTTTGTGAAGTTTCTGTACAGCTCACGGTGTGTCTTATTCTTCCATTTCCACCAAAAGCCATCTTTAAGATTTACGCAATCATCTTGACATTCTAATCCTAGCTCACATGGCTTACAAGCTCCAAACAAATTCGTACGGTAATGATCTTTCAAACATTTGCAGGCGCGAAATCCTGCAAATGCAGTTGTGTTAGTTCCTGTCAAACAAAAGAAATGAAACAAAATTGTTCAAACGAATTGTCGTAATCTGTGAGAGATACTTGCATAAATTAATAATAAGGTTAAGTTTCTCGGAGACAGTTAGCGCTTTTCAATAACACGCGGACGCAGAAATTTAAGAACCGTTCTCAGTTCTCAGATCAAAAAATTCGATTTTTTTTTTTTTTCACCAAAAAACCCTTTTGATAAACTATTTTCAAAAACAATATTCAAAAGATCTAGCGAAGCTCCGTTTTTGCGAAAAACAGGAATGTTTAAAATCGGCCTAAACCTTGTCGAAGGCCCGAAGGAATCAAGCAAATTAGGGCAGTTTCAAGACGCTCGTACGAGAAAACGAAAGCTAATCTATAGTTAATCTTTGCAAAGTTTGTTGCACATTTCTTAAAGTTACTTTAAAGCTATACTTTATCTTGATGTAGGCTTTCTTTCTATTTTTCACACCCGCGCAAAGAGAGTAATGTTTCGTGCTTTGTTGACACAGTGAATTTTACCATATTTCAGAATGTTATAGCATCAAGGGTACATATATTTAACGGGTGTGAAAGGGAACTTTTGAAAGAACCATTCTTCCTGTATGTCATACTAAAAGCCTTTTTTAGCCCGCCAAAAGCGAGCGCGCTAGACGAAAACGTATACGTGTGATTTGACGGGTTTCTCCATTTTACCTCCTTTTGCTCGCTGTTGTCTTACTTGGTTGATTGACACTTTTTCACCCAGGAAAACTCAGTGTTTGGTTTCTATTGCGACATACTATTCGAATTCAGACTGCAGCAGCCCTTCGGGACTGGTCATTATTTATCGGGAGGGGGGTTAGTGCAATGTAAAATATGCCATGCTTGATTTTTGCTGACCCCCCTTTTACTTTAACATGATTTTTGCTGTCATGTTGTCAGGATGATCAAAAAATGAGTTATCTTCTCTGAAAATTGCCTTCAGCTGAACCCTTGGGTGGAAATCATCCGCACTTCTGCCAACAGTTGGGGTGTCTTTCGTAGCAAGATAATGGAGACCAGGTCTTTGGGCATCGGGATATGGCTTGGGGATATGTTTTATGTCAGCAGAGCATTGGCAAACTTATAAATGTTAAAGAAAGGGTGATAGAAATAGAAGAAAGCCTTAAGGAAAAGTTAGAGAAGACATCAAATATGTTCCAATATGCCCCCATGTGAATGCAAAAACCAAAAAGCGTTCTCAGAAAGAGAACCGAAGGAAAGCCAAAAGAAGGAAAGTTACGAGAAAAGCTGCCAACATACAGAAAGTGCGAGAGTTTATTTCGAATGCTTCTGCATCTGAAGTAATTCAAATCCAGAACCTAAAATTGGAAGCTCTATCTACATTATCATTGTGTCAAGTAAAATATCTACAACTCATGTATGAAGATAGACAAGTATTTACTGAAGCTGTAAACTTGATTAGTGAATATGTAGACAATTTTCCAAAAAAAGAAAACACTAACCTAGAACCAGATAATGCCCATGATGATGACAGTAATAATGATGATGATAAAGACAACGATGATAGTGATGATGATGCAGACAATGATGACAATGGTGATGATGACAACAATGGTAATGCTGATGATGACAATGCTGAGGACAACAGCAATGATGATGATTTGTGCTGGTTATGTTTACAGTAGAACTAAGATCAATGTTGTAAGATACTGATTTGTAAGTGTTAATAAAAGTTGTTGTATAAAGCTATTTTAACAGGTTGTATTTGTTGATGGCATCCAGATGCAGCTTTTAACATTTTTGCTGGCAAAACGTTTGCATATTTTTTAATCCCCCCCCTTTAAGCCATGCATAAAAAATGGTGGCCCACCCCCTATTTGCACCAGCCCCCCCCCCCCTCCCGATAAATAATGACCAGTCCCTTGACAAGAAAATAAGTTTGACTAAACTTTCTGAGACAAACTTTGGAAAGTTAATTTACACGTAATCTCTGTTATCACCAATTGTAAACAAAGACTGGCTTAAGATACAGATCCGAATACTCCGGCGGCGAAGCGGTGGTGGGGTGAGGGGGCTGGGTGATTTTGAAAAATACACTGTATATCCTGGAAGTGCACATAGGTAAGAAAAGAATCCTGCATAAGTCCACTGTCCAAAAATAATTTCACGCACCTACAGTGGGCTGAAAAAATAAACCTGCCCGAGATGCTCCCTGGGTTGACAGCATGAACCTTATTTCCCAACAGTTATCATAAAAAATATTTTGTACTTGCACTTGTGTCTGGCAGGAGCCGATTACTAATCGGCTCCTGGTACTGGGTAAGAGGGATTCATAGCATAAGGATCTTTCCCTCTCAAATGGCTTTTCTTTACATTTACAACACCTGTGGTAACCAATCTTGGTCAGTGACCGAGAAGCTTTGGGGCTGAGTGGGCTATATCCCCACCAATAATTCCATCGATTTTTTTGCCTATTGTATAAGTCTTCTAATCTTTATGTTAAAAGCAAACACAATTTCCTTTGTTACATGTACGTTTTTTTGCAGAAAACAAGCGGATTGGTGATAAAAATTGGACAAAATCAATCTCAGAATTGGTAGAAATTAACCCGGTGATTCTAACTTTTACCATTTTCCGTGGAAGCAGGCTCCCCAACCCCTCTAGATAAAATTTCTGTTCCTCGAAATATCTGTTCTTCTGGCAACTTCTTGCTGGCTAGGAGATTTGGAAAACTTTATATGTTCTTCGAAGGAAAGTGTTGCTGGGAAATGGACAATTCTGGGTGTCGTAGGAGATTTGAAGTCCAGAATAGCTGGCATGTGCCTTTTGTCAGAAACATACCCCCTCTCCACACTGAATGGTTGAGTTTTGCCTTTAGGCCACACCAATTACCCTATCCAGCCCCTCCCCCCACACTGAAGGGTTGAATTTTCCCTATGACCACACCCAAACTGACTTACTTGCTTTCCAGTAAGTCAGGTTGTAGGTTGTAGATGCACCTTGCTGGCTGGGAACTCTTTCGTTAGTCTTGCCGGGAGTGGGGAACAGAAAAATCTTTGCCAGCAATCTCCCAAAATGCTTAAAACGGCTTCAGAAAGCTTTATTCATGCTTTGGTGTTATTTTTAGGTCTTTTCCTCAAAATTTCCTGCTGTGTGCCCCTGTGTCTTTCTTCTATTCAATTTACCTGTGTATTTCCAGGTTTTCCAGGGCCGTGTTCCGGTGTGCTCCGGGTTTTGGAAAAATACCAATCACAACCTAGTATCACTGCAGCCTATTACAAATGCCTTCTGACTTGAGGGCTCATGCTACGGACGAGAGAGAGAGAGAGAGAGACGAGGGGCCGAGTAGGAGAGGACCCTAGGAACGAGGTTGCGTCGCTCACTAAAAAATTGACACAATCTCCTTGAGTTATCATTTTAAATAATTTGCATGTTTAAAAAAAGAGAATCTTTGTCAGTATTCAATTTTTGCTTCTTTTCTTACTTGAGCGTACTTATTTTTTTGATGCTGTGGATGCCGAGTGACCATGATAGGACAGTAAAAGCCTTCTGTTCCTGTTCATTGTTTCAGTCTCATACGACTCGAACGTAAAAGATGGGTCACCAATCAATCAATCATACAGTCAAATTATTTACATCAATACGTGGGATGGGGCTGCCCCGATCATCCGAGCCAGACGCTCATGTATGAAACGTATGACAATAAAAATACTAAGTTATTAAAAATACAATACATTTCAATGAAAATAATTTTAAAAGATCAAAGCTACACCTTCCGCATCCCACTGAATTAATTAAAAACCAAAAACCATAAGAATAAGTTTAAAACCCTAAGAAAATCAATCAATCAATCAGTCTAAGAAACAGTAAAAACCCTAAGATATACCAAAATTGCATTTACAACTGGCTCTTAAGTTCATAAGATTAAAAGACCTAAATGCTTACGAGATTCACTCAACTCAGTTGATTTCTTAATGTAAGAAGCAAGCTGATTCCACAAATACGAAGCTTTGCAAGTAAAAGAATTGTGATAGTATCGATTATTATAGCATGTTTGAGTGAGATTGTGATCTCTGTTCCTTAAATTGTAGCGCAATATACGAGGTTCGAATAAATCAGAAATATAGTCAGCCCTATTTCGTTTTATACATTTAAAAAGGAAGATAAGAGATTGATAGTACCGTCCATGTTCCAGTGATTGCATGTTTATAGCGACAACAAGGAATCATAATCAAAGCTGTTTCCAAAATTTAAGAGGGCTTTTAAAGCTTAATATTACTATGAAACTGAGATTTGTGAAAATCCCATGAAAATCACTTGAAAATATCATGAACATCATTTCATGGCTAATGAATCTTGCAAAATAACTTTTCATGACCTCATCTGTGGCCATTAAATTTTCGTGGAAAAAAAAATTAAAGGTGTTTCATGGCCCATGAATTAAATTGGATGACTTTCATGGGTCATGAATTTCCAATGAAACACCACATTATGGAAACATACCTAGAAAGTTCAGTGATGGAACCATGAAAAACGTTTAATGGGTCATGAAATAAATATTGAATTTGATTTGTGAGTCATGAAAAATGTATGAATGATTTCATGTCTCATTAATTTCCCATGAAAATGCTGATGAGGAAAGCAGTTCCACTGTGAATTAATGCCTTGAATAAATATTTGATGACTTTGCAGCAAGAACACTGCATTCCACAATATATACAAAATGTACATGTATTCAGTAAATGAATTAGTACATTTCGGGTTGTACTAGAATAAGCTATACCCTAACGAAACTAGTACTTTGGACTGCACTATTTACAGTCAACTTTCAACAAGAAAGATCCACTCTGGGACCAGCTAGCACGGCATCTAAGTTTTTGTCTATTGTACGAATAGTTAAAGATTAAGACAGACACATATACGAACAGGCTCCAAGTACCTGTTAAAAGAAAGTTGACT